GTGTGGAAGTTGTGTGGAGGTCGCCAACGGTTGATTGGGCGACGAATGGCGGCTGTGGTGGGATATTGTGAAGGGTCAGGGTTGGTGTGTTCGGTGTTTGGGCGTAGATCAATGGGTTGTGGTGGTGACCGACTGCGGGATGGTGTGAGGCTAGATGTGTAGGTGGATGTTGAGGGCGACCGCCGTCGCCGGGTTGAGCTGTGGTGTTTGGAGTGGCGGTGATGGCGATGTCTGCGGCGGTGGCGGTGGCGTCCTCTGTGGTGATGGTCGGACTTGCGTCGGCTCTTGTGGCGGTGACGGCGACTGCTGTGTGGTGGTGGTGGGGAAGGTGGTTGCGGTGCTGGTGAGGCAGTGGTGTCAGGTTTGTCTGGTGCTGGTAGTGAAGTTCCAGGTGCTGGTGTGGCAGATACCAGCGAGGGGGATGCTGAATGTTGGGATACGGTGGCTGGTGGAGGTGTGTTTTGGACTGGCAGTGGATTGTCCTGGGCAGTCGTGGGGATGGGTTGGATCGGTGGTGTTGGATCCGATGGTAGCTGCTGTTGAAATGGAGGTTGGGCTGGCGTTGAGGCATTGGGAATGTGTGGAGGCGGTGGCGGGGGCCCCGGTTGGAGCGAAGGCTGTGTGACAGGTGGAAAGGCTGAGTTGGGTTGCCAAACGCCCTGGGGGATGGCGCATTGGGGGTCTGTGGATGGATAATTGGCAGTCGTAGGCTGTTGCTGTGTTGGAGGGAGATGTGTCAGTGTAGTGGGGGGAGTGAGTTCAGCCGGCGGCATGGGTTGAGGTGATGGCAACAGGTAGGACGGGGGAGGTGCTGCTGTCGGAAACACCGGAGTTGGATGTGTGGGTTGCGGTGGCACATGACATGGGTGGACAAAAGTCCAAGTGGATGGTGTGCCGTAAGTCAGTGCAGTGGCGGTAGGGGTGGGCAACAACGGTGGTGGTTGAAAAGGTTGCGGTTGTGGGTGAGGGTATGCCGATGGTTGTGTCGAGGGAAAAGTGGGTGCAGTTGATGCTTGTGGCATCGGCCATGTGGGTTGAGGTTGTGTGGTAGGTAATGGTGGTGGCGTGGCGTGAGCGTAGGGCCACGGAAACTGCATGTCGTGGTCGTAGCTATGGCGCGGCGCGGCGCAGCGCAGCAGCAGCGGAGAAATGCCGAGTTGTAGTGTCTTGTGGTTGGTCATTGTTGTTGAATGTGTCATCTCTGGTGTCAGTGGTGAGTATGTTGTAAGGTGGTGTTAAATGTAAGCTTGTTAGTAGCTGTGTGTTCATGCATCTCGAATTAAGCTGAAGAGTCGTAATGCTCATCCTTGAGTTCTGTCAATGAAAGAATCGCGGCAGCAACATAGCGAACAGGGAAACACGCACATGATTGGAAAACATGAAAAGAACACTGAATGCTGAAATCTGAGATCATAAGTTCGGAATCTGAAAGAGTCTTCAAGAACCGTTTTTTGGCCCGGCGGCCGGTGTGTCGGTTGATTCTGTGGGGGTGTCGGTGCCTTCCTGTAAGGTTCCAGTGATCGGTGGAGCGTTGGGGTGGTTGCTTTCCCATGCAAAAACAGCGCCCCTGTGAAGGGGATCACACTCAGCACCCGAGTGGGACGGCTGAGCAGGACACACTTCGAACTTGGATTTTCAGTTAATGCAAGTATCACGTTGGGAAGAAAGGCGAAGAACCGCAGGGCGCAAAGGTCAGTGAAAACAGTATGGTTTAACTTTGTTTGCAGTGGCACTCGAGAAGACGATCGGACACTCAGCGCGGCTGCAAGTCGGCTGTAAGGCTGCGGTGGGTTTGTGGGATGTATCGTGAAGAACCATGAAAACAAACAAGGTCAATTGGACAGCTTGTTCAACCGTTAAAGCAGGTACACATCCATGGCCAGTGGATGCTTCCCTCTCTGATGCCTAGCTTCGTTGGACAGAGTAGCATCAGAGAGCTCTGTCCCCCTGCTCATGTAGAGTAGAAAGAGTGGTGGTGGAAACCCTTTGTCCAGGGTTGGACACACACACACACGCACGCACGCACGCACGCACGCACGCGCACACGCACACGCACAGAGACTCGAACACTCGTACGTCGGTGCCCTCATGTTATGACCATCAAACGCGTGTCATTTTCACCCGAATAATCTCTTTTGAATTCTTTTGAGACATCCGGAGACATCATGTCCCCACAAGGCGGGAGTTCTGAACTCCACAGCAGGCGCCAGTTGTGATTGGTGCAAGATTCATCGTAGCGATTCCAAGACTGGTAGAAGGCATGAAGGCATTTGTTGGCTTCTTGCTTATTGTTTCTCATCTACTTCAGTCAGAAATAATCAAACACACATGCCAAAGGTGGAAGCAGCTCCGAGTTTGCTAGCCAATTCGCATTCTAAGTGTTTGCTTTGTTGAAGTGGACTGGGCTACGTGTTTGTTGCGACCCTCGGGCGCCAACCGACAGGCTTGGCCCATGTGGCACCCAAGGTGTGGAAAGGGCCCGCAGATGTGGTAGGTTGAGGTTGATCCGCCATCACGGCAGTCTTACTAAATGATATACTGTAATACAGTAGTAGACAATAGTAGACAGTAAGACTATACTAAATTAAAGCAAGGATGGATCCAAACCATACTAAATTAAACTGTATAATGCAGTAGTAGTATTACTGTAAGTTTGTGGATTAATATGGTTTGGATCCATCCTTGCTTTCTTTCTCCAATGGTGGGTCCCACCAGTCCTTGTGAAATCGCCCTGCAGCTTCGGTTGTTGAAGTGATCAGAATCACGTGGTAGGCTTGGAAAAGTGGATGAAGACCATCAACCAGTCATTTGTTGTTCAAGGAACACCTTCGAGTCTGCATGGAGAAAGATCTATTCGTTGATGCCCATAAAACGAATGCGGACTGACTGGTGGCACAGAACGAAAACCCAGAAGTCAGTTTTGTATACTTTGAAAAGATCACAACTCATCTTGGGGACGGTTCCTGTAGCTCAGCTGGAGGTGGCGCATGTAGTTTGTCCCGGATGTGCAGAAGCTTCCGATGCTGAATTGGACCTGCTTGAGCAAGTAGAGGAGAGATGAGCAGGGTCGAGGTTTACAGTGGGCCACGGCGACAAAGGCAAGATCAAAGCTTAAGTTCGCTTGACCTGATGTGCCAAAACATGTCATTCACGAGAACATGCAGAAATCTTGGTCCAAATCCAGCTCTGCTCTGGTCTTACCATGTGTTGTGATGTGTTTTTCCTTTTCCATAATATGAGTCCTGCACAGACTCCATGGCTTCGATCGAACTTGAGGAGCGAGAGGAAGATGAAATGGTTGCATTGGCATCGCAGGCGTTTGTCAGCTGTCAATAGAAACATGGGGCAGAAACAGTGGGCATGTGGAGTGGCAAGTGGCAGCCTGCTTGCAGGTATATCCCAGCTTGCGAGATGCATTGCATGTTCTACCTACCTTTTGACGCTGCAGGAATCATTTGCTTCTTCCAAGGGGTCACCAATTCAATGGACGGCCCTACACTTATAGGTCTCCATTGGACAACCCTTGGAAGCGCTGGTGCCCTTCCTCCCTAACTGATCGAAAAGGAGCCGACTAGAGTCTGAGTGCACGACAAATGTTGAGCGCAGGCTAAAGTCTCCTTGCTGCAGACGGGCTTGGAGCATCAACATGGCCCTGCAAAAGCCAAGGATGGGCCGTGCTTGCTAGTACATCTATCTTGCAAGTACATGCAAGTACATCAATATTGTGTTTAAGATACTTATATGTCACATGTGTATATGGTTATAGATGAGGCATATACAGTATATATATAAGTTCTGACCCGGCAATGAATCAGTTGTATTGACGCTCTTATTTTTCTTGATCAGGACATTGCTTACCTTCACGCCAGTGGCATTGAGGATACTGATGAGGCTGGGGATGATCATGGCAGTCTCAGAAACAAGGGGAATGATGAGGGTCAGGCCTAAGTTGAAGATCATCGCAACAAATCGTATCCAGAAAATTCGAACTTTTCATGTACAGGATATCGGATACTTTGATGGTGGGCACGTGTTTCCGGGCTGTGGTTTCGCTGTTTGTTTTGCTGCTTGTCCTGCACGAGAACGGACTGCCTTGCACGGGAATGCCGTCTTGAACACTGAATTGGGAGACATGAAAGATGCCCTTACTATGTGCTATACTGCAGCATGCGTTCTCCGAGCTGACAGGCCTTGGGTTTGCTGGATGCAGCTACCGAGTTGGGCTTTTGATTCTGAAGCCTGGGCAAGTTGCACAGAGTGGCCGATTGGTGACATGTGTACAGACTTTCTGGTGGAGTGTTTCTGTAAATGCAGATGAATACCTTGAGCTGGTTGGCCACCATCCTTTGGCGTGCCTGGGGTTTACAGCCCCCCTCATTACAAGCCTGGACCTGGCATGCAAGACAAGCAGCTTGTCTTGCAGTGATCGAAAGCTGATGGGCAGCTGGCCTCCAGATCCATGGACAACGAATGGGCAAAAGGGCGTATCAGCTTTGAACATACCACATGGCAGTATTAGGAGGGTGCTGGAATTACTGCTGCTGCTACTACCCTTGTCCTACTTGAAGAAAAGACAGTAACAAGAATACTCATTCCACGTTGCTTGTAAGGTGCGGCAAATCTTATGTTGTTCGGACCATCACTCCACAGAACCTCGAATGTGTGTGATGAGTCTTTGCCTGGTCAGCTTCCAAGTGCTCAAGACCTATTGCGTTCCCACCTAGGAACATTCATGTGGTATCGCCTTGCGAGCTCATAGCAACAGATATGACAGCTGATGACAAATCTCAAGATGTTGTTTTTTACATGCTTCACATATGTAGAGATGCATTCTTCACCTGGCAACATGCTGACCTCAAGAGTAGTAGGACTCGACATTGATGAACCCAGCCAGCCTTGATCAGACAGAAGCTAGGACTCCTGTCCCATGTCCCCTTTTCTCCGCCTCTCATGACCCATCTGCTCATCCCTTCATGATCTATTCCGCTCGGATCCCTACAGGACACTTGTCCCCCATTTTTCTCAACTCATCTCACTCGGCACGTCGACTCGCCATGAGCGACCCTGAAACATCGGGGGCCGGGTCTTCCCAGTTGCCAAGCATGGAACGGTGGAACGTTGGGTGGAACGGATGTGACTGATGGGTTTCCTGTTCTTATGCCAACGTTCAGAATGATCATACAGAATGGTCATGTATATTGTAGATCTTGTGTTGATACAGCCACTGTTGACATGCAATTTGCATCTGCAGATTCATGGGTGTGGGTCGAAACATGTGGCTCAGGGTTCCACCAGAAACTTGGGCAGCATGGGAGGCTACAGATTCTTGACCCACAGTTCACTGTCAAAGCACAAATTGTTGTCAACCAGTGACAGTGACTTCGCAGGTTGGAATTGAGAATGAGGCCAGCTTTGCGTAGGCATAGGTGAAATTATCCGTCTCAGATGGGCGTAGCTTCTAACCAGATGTGCTCAACCATTTGCGAGCTAAGTGTTTCTACAGTATGAAGTAGGACGCCTCTGGGTCTTTCATGATTGACTCTCCTATATGATTTCAGACTTGACAGAAGGCCTTGGCCATCGCAGCTCATGTTGAACTTAGCCAAACTTGGTGAGCTTTGATGCGGCACACTGTGCCTTAGCATTCTACACATGACACAATATGTGTATGACCTTATCAGTTGTCTCACTCACTGCACTTGTCGCATGGTTGAATGTTGAACGATCGGAGCTTGGCCGAGGTTTCTCAAACAGCCGAAGTTTGTCTCAGAATCCCACCTAGCTTCCTTTGAAACAAAGCATCCAGATTCTGCTGCTTGCATTGCCCACTTGGCAGGTTTCCTTGACCGACTCGGCGGGAAAACCCAGACTCACGCAGTAAGAGTGCTTGTTTGAACATCTAAGAATGGAATTCGATGGACACCAAATCCAACAGATCACGAAGTTCCACCAACGACCCAAGCGAATTCCACCGCACCGATGCTTTTTGAGACACCTGGTGTCCGCTCAAACGGGTCCCCAGGCTCGGCTGAGCTTGGTCAGAGTGCAAGAGGCGCTGTCACCGGGTTCTCCGGTTCTCCGGTCACAGAGGCCAGAGCCCAACAAGCACCATGGGCGCGCGGTTTAAACCGTGTGGCCCTGCCTCCTTACTCAGTTAAGTAGGCGCTTACTTCAGTAAGTTTAGCGGAGAAGTTCGCTCCTAAGGTCCTAGCTAGGACGCAGGATAGCTCACGCTTCAAGGAAAGCTCCCCCGGCCTGAGGCCGGGGGGGAGCCTCCTTGAAGAAGCGCTTGCGATAATGATTTGGTTCCTAGATGTGTAGGGAAACTTAACTTGCACAGCTTCCATGGCTAGGATGCTTGCGTATGCTTGCGTGTCATACCTGAGTGCCATGCTGTTCGTAGTTGCTTGTGATGGGTGCGTATGAATTTGATTATGTTATACTATCTCATTTTATAACGTGTTGAGCTATGAGCTTCGTGTAGAATCTGCCAGGAATTCTGCCTGGGATGACAACCCAGCTTTGCATATTTTGCATGGGCCATTTGTTCCTGATAACTCATACCATATCAGCATCAGCCAGCTGTTTTCATAGCAGGTGCTTCAGAGCATCTTCGAGTTCTATGCCAGATGGGACTCAGTGTTGTTTTCTTCTTTCAAGCTGGCCAATACTCTTATACGTATTTGTTTGAAGGAAGAAACTCACACTAATTTCAATCTGATTTGTTTAGGTTGTTTACGTCTCTCGGCCCATGAAGTGAAGAGACGGTTCTTGTTGATCAGTGGTCTACGGTTCTCAAAGCTTTCAAGAAATAGATGTCTCGGTTTGCGCCTGTAGCCTGAGAGTTGCCGCGTACAGCTCCGTGCTTTTGAGTTCTTGCCGGCTTTGGCCAAGGTGCTACAGCTTTGCAAGAGCCGAGGCCAGCCAGACAGGGGCACGGCTGGGCACAGATGGACGGCTGGGAATTTCTCCAAAAAGCAACTGCTTTGTTTCGATTCTGATGTCAAAAGCGATGGCCTCCACCCTAAGAGCGATGGCCTCCAACCTTTCTTTATTCATTGCCATGACACTTAGTTTGATCTCTAGAAGGTCCAAGTGCTGAAGATGTTTCTTTGTACAGTTGGTTTTGCGACATGCTCATTCACCATGTGCCAACACCTTATGTGCGTTGATGTACTGTGATGATCAAGAAACAGATGGATAAGTAAAGCGTTGCCGTCACCCCACAATATTCACGAAAGCTAGCATCAGCTAGCTGGAGTTGCTCTTGCTTTAGCAAGTCAAGGGCTCGCAGCCTCGAGAATCATGAATCACGTGAAAACTTCACGTGTAGGGGGGGGCCCCCCCCCCCGCGGGTTCAACTCCCCCCTGGGACGCTTCCGGAACGTGCTATAGTGCTATGTTTAGGTGGCAGGTGAAGTAGGCCACTGTTTGAGTTTGGAAGGGGGGGGCATGAAACATGAAATTTACGCGAGGGTTCAAGGCTTCAATGATGAGCATCACGGGAAGTCAGAAACCAGGCGTATCAGATACACGTGCCTTTGAGCTTCCTTCGGCATCTCAGTGCATATGGCTGACACTTCACTCGACAAAGATGCTCAAACAAACATACATAAGCCAGGTGTATCTGATACGCCTGGTTTGTGACTTCCCGTGATGCTCATGATGCTGCGTTGCTTTTCTTCAGTCCCTCATTACATATACATGACGATCCAACAGCAGATTCAACAAGCTCACATGCTCATGACATCGACATCGATAGAAGAAACCAAACAAATCATGCAAGCAGCTTTGTTTTGCCTCTGGGACACCTCTTGGGCACCTCTTATGGCATCCACACTGGTTCAACTCCTCCGTGGAGGTTTTGGGATACAGCGCAACAGATTCAACAAAGTCACAGGTTCGTGAACACATCGGATGCATCGAACAGTGTGGCAAAGTCCAGCCACGCTTCCTTAATTATCGGGGACTTCAATTCTAAGGTTGGCTGTGTCATTGCTGTTTGTGTGTCTTACATGTTCACAACCTCATGAGCATTTGCCTCACTCCGCTTGATGTCCCACCAGTCCGGATGCACCCCTGCTAGCTTTCGTCACCTACCCTCGGCCTCAAGTTTGTCGTTGCTGTATTGTATATATATATGCCTAAAACACTGCAACATACCAGTGAAATTAAGCCTATGGTTTCTTTTGGGGGGTACCATATGTATGTGTATATATATATATACATATAGTCTAACCGACAACCCTGGTTGGCATGTGGGCACCGATCTAGAGTCCATTATACAGGGAACGAACAGGGAACCAAGAGTAAACCAAACTTCTTGCAACAGAACCAGATGCATTGAAAACAATACAACACAAACACAGGTAAGTAAGCAGAATACCACAGGCAGCCATGGACTACAGTGGTTTGCTAGCAAGCTTGCAGATGGTGCCCCTTACAAGTAGAAGTTTACAACTTCCATTGTTTTGCTCTTCTAGAGTGGCAAGAGAGTCGTTTTCCGGCAGTTTGAAATACTGGTATGGTGTTCAAAAGGATAAAAGGTGAGTTTCTTCATTTTCATCCACGTCAATTAAGCACCTGTTGCAAAATTGAAGTTAATGGCTTCGTGTGCTTGTACTTGCCTGTAATGACAGCTGCTTCTGGCCTAGGCTTACAAATGCCAAGTTTACTCGCATTGTACAGGGCTCAGGTTTCCATCACTGCAATGCTGCTTTGCCTTCCGTTACTCAGGGTGACGCAGATTAGGAAGCACCGAATGATAATGAACAGATGATAAGAGCAATCAGATGATGCACGCCCCGCCTTCTATGTCTGGCTGCAGCAGCAGCCGTTCCACGAACTCCGCTGAGACGTTTGATCGAGCCGATTTTTGCCAATTGAATGCTCATGAAAAAAAGGATGGGTTGGTCACTGGTCCAATCTCAGCTCTATGGGGTGGACCAACCCATCCATGCCTGGCCTTACTACTAGGAGATCTAGGAGCAAGAAGCTACTAGGGGCTCCTGGCATCGCTACTAGTAGCAAGGACGCTACTAGGGGCTCCTGGCCTTACTACTAGGAGCAAGAAGCGACTAGGAACCCATCCATGGTGTGTCCGGGCTGCGGCCGAACGGCCCATGGAACGCTCGAGGTCATGGATGCAGCTTTGGTCGATGAGAAGCTCACGCCAGCAAAGGACGGCAGAGCGGGACGGAATTGCAGAGATTTCGCATGCTTGGCACCCAAGAGGAACAACCAAGTTAAGTGTGAAGCTAAATTGAAGATCCCCCCAGAAAAATAGGCCGTGGCGTTTGTGCCATCCACTCTACCACAGCTTGGAGGAAACAAGTTGCTTGTTATATGTTATTTGAAGACTCACACACAAGGAATCATGTGTGTTTGTGAGAAGCATACAAGGAGCGTATCATGCAGCTTCATTGCAACGTGTTTTTGCAATACTTTTGACAAATGATGACTTGTTGAACTTTGGAAGGAGGCCCAAAGAACTTACCAAGCAGTCGGGTCTTTTAGATGTGCACAAATCTTGAACAGAATTCAGTGTGGAACCGGTCGATAAAGATTTGACTAAGGTGCCAAATGGTGCCAATAGTACTAGAGAAGCCCGAGAACCTCCGCCGGTGTGCTTGAACCACATTTCAAAGAATAGAAGGCTACTCTGCGTCAGTTACACCATGTTGGGTTAACGGTGGGTTTGCTCCGCAAAACAACTGTAATCGTTTGCAATGTGTTCATGCCGTTTCGATTGTGACTGAAGGCAACCCCCAAACCCACCAGATCCCATGAGGTTGTCAATAAGAGTCAACTCAAGTGCTTTTTCCGAAAGTCTTGATTTAAGAGTGTATGTTCGATAATTCCGGTTACTGTAATTCAATTGATTAAGCCAGTATGTTCAATAGTAGTTGATTTAATTCAGTATGTTCAGAAGCTTTCAACGGCGCGCCTGCTTTTCAGGTGGATGTGACCTTCAGCAGAGCCACTCCGACATGCTTGAAGCGGATGTTGAACATACGCAAGCATTTCCCAAGCCATGATCGTAGTTGGGCCTTGTGTAGTTTTGCTTAGGCTCTAGACAGGAAAGGACTTGAAAGGACTCTTTACAGGCTGAAAAAGCGTGACCAACGCTGGCTGAGAAAATATGAGAAGCTGTATCCTCACTGCATGATTAGAATAGGTATGTACACAGACTTGATGGTCCCACACTTGTGCAGCTTCGCCCCACAGGTGTGTGGCAACTCGCCCCACATGATGCTGCCCCAATTTCGTGATGCAGTTGGGACCACCCAGTTGCTTGGACCAGTTCTTGTTGAATTCGATTTGGCTCATTGTTTTGACGTTTTCTCAATGGCCTTTCTTGTGAATGTTGGGAGCAACATCTCTCAAACAAACATGGAACTCGATTCTCTTAAGCATCTCAAGCAGTCTCAAGCTCTCAGGCCATGTTTTAGTCCAAGTGGCCAAGGAGAGTGCGCAAATCTAGAATCTAAGAAGCCTAGCAGAGGCCGCAACTGGCCGTGGAGTAGTAAAAATGGCTTACCTCTTTGGCTCTCATCGTCAGTGGGTCGATCAGCCTTCCCTTCGTCTCGTGTTGCAACGACGTTCTCGCCTCAGATGGTCCGCTTGGCGGCCATCAAATACCCGCAGCTGTCTCGAACGGAGGCGTGGGGCGAACGGGACGGCGAACGGTTCGCTTCGATGTTTGATCAAGACCGAAAGCTGGTGGCGAACGAGCACCGACTTCTAAAGGCTCTTTGACATGCAGATATCTGAGATCTTTTCGCATTTTGTGGTGGATGTATGATGTAAATGTGGATCATTCCGATCCACAAGCGCTTGAGCTAGATTCGCTAGAGCCTTCAGATTCTTTGATTGATGCATGATGATGCATGGTCATGTTTGACCACCAACCCCTGGGCGCATCATGTTGTCTCGATTTGTTCATCGTCCGGTGCGGAGAGCCCCTGGTGTGAACTGAGGCAGTTTTGCAGATCTTCAAAAACCTGGCAACGTTTCAGGGGCAAACCAAAGGCGCGCACGTCCTGCAGTCTTGAGTCTTTTTGGTGTCCCGCGTTTGTTTCTGTTGATACTGTCCTTTTCTTACATAATCAAGCTCGCACTTTTAGTGTTGGAGAAAAAGCAACAAGGCTTTAACCATCGAGTGCAGAAAAGTGAATCAGGACCAGCGGTCACAGCTGACACGTCGCCGAATTGGGTCAGCACATCCCGATGAAGACATCGTCTGATTGGCACCCAAACGGTCGTAAATGAGTTTGGACTCGAGAGACCTGAACAAACCCTGAAAGTAGATGGACAATCAAGCCGTCGGAAGACATGGCCCGTAAGTCTTATAATAGATAGATATCATGCTTCTAAGACGTTTTGGAATGTCCAGAAGCGACTTTGTGCGCAACTTCCCCACCAGCACATAATCTATCCGTTGGCCTTTGTTTTTTATTGAGCTCTTTGCACACAATGTCTGTTGATAAAGACTGAATCAGAACTATCACACAAGGTTAGATTTTGTTCATTTGCAGTATGCCGTTTTTGTACATCACCCACGGGTTTAAACAATAGACTGGTATACGGTATACGCTGGAACATGTCCTTTTCATCTCTAGAAAAGATGACTTGTTATGATGCTTCTCCGATAGACAAAGTTGGAACCCATGCGAAGAACACGTTAGTCTCATTTTTAGCCTGTCATGCAGCCACACGAGCCTCAGATGTTTTCTCCGAGCTTGACGATGCCGTGTTGAGCCTTTTGGGCATCGCCCGGCACGGGTGCCCAAAACGTTCTTTGCCGCCACATCGAAGTACGTTGAAGCGCTGTGCGAGAGCAAAGCTAAAACTATATTGAGTTAAACAGAGGAGTTTCACTTGTTCAGCTGTAGTACCGGCTGGTTGGAAGGAAGAGGAGGAACATGCAGATGTCGGCTCAAGGATGACAGACTTGAAATTTTTAGAGCCCGAGTCATATGCAGAACAGGACCCGAGAAGCGGCTCACAGTCGTGAAAGTTTGCAACCCGACAGGGCAGAAAAAGGGCCTGCCGTAACCAGATCCAAGTCTGTTAAACACAGACGAACGAAGGGTTTGAGGGTCGAAGTCACTGGACTGTCTTAGCGTCTTAGTGGATAGGAAAGCTTCGAAAGGGCTTTGGAATCTTTGGATAGGTGATGTTTCATGTCTTTGTAGTTGTAAGTGAGGGCAACTCCAAGTGGATGTTGAGGGTCTCAATGAGTCTCGATCATTTTGTAGAATAGATTGCAGGAAAGAAGCGGGAAGCATAGACATTCACGTTTATCTGGTATATTTGGAAGAATTTGTTCCGGTTCACTCATTCTGTCTTTCTTCTATCATCATATAACCTGATATAGTAGTAGGATGTAGTAGGCATTTTTCTAGCACCAAGTAGTAATGTCGACCTCATAACAATAAATGCCCCCTGAATAATGCTAAACTTTTCCAAAAACTATTAATCAAAGGAAGTTTAGAAGGAACTTCCGTGTTACGGACATTCAACAGCTGTTCAACCACCACTCATCATACACCACTCATCAGATTTCGTGGCAGGTGCAGCAATTTGTGAACCTCCATGTGCAGATTTCGTGGCAGGTGCAATGCAAAATGCGTTTTCGAGAGATAGCGGACGCACGAAATGCTGTATTTTTCAATAGAACCGGTGGCTTCGAACCTGGCAAGTCTAGCTCTGCGGAACGACTGTTGCGAGACGGTCTCGGGTCATGCTCGGTCGGCCGTCCATTGTGATTAGGTTTTCACTTGTCTCTTGAAGTGCAGATTTCGTGGCAGGCGCAGCACTTTGTGAACCTCCATGTGCAGATTTCGTGGCAGGCACAGC